GCAAGAGTTATATGGAAGAATATTTAATCTGCTGGGGGAAGGGAGAGGGGTCGTCTGTGGGTTTATTTCTTAAATATCTCTCTCTACTCCAGGAGGGTCCGTTTCTCGCCGGGCAAGGTCCAGTATAAATTAGAACAAAGGGAGGAGGTCGCTGCTGTGGGCACCGTGGGCACCCCCTGGCCCACGGGCACCCCGGGACGGTGCCCTTGGCTCCTATGGCTCAGTCCCACCCGAAATCCTGCCCCGTCATCTGATAGAACTTCATGTTGAAGGGTCTGTAAAACTCCCGCAGGCGCTGCACCACCCCCCCGTCGATTTTGGGGTGAGGTCTCCCCTTGGATTTGCCCAGGCAGCGGGGTCTGCCCCCTCCCTCCGGCTTCTGCAGGCAAGGGAAGCCCTTGGTCTCGTTAAAATAGAAATGTTTCTCCGTCACCACCCTCTGGAGCCCCAGGAAGTCTTGGACTCGCCCCATCTCCCCGGCGGGGTCGCTGACGAGCCTCTCCCCGCTGACGAAGAGGAATTTGGACAAGGGGAAGTACTGCAGCCAGTTGTCCAGGTGCTTGGCGTAGATCCCGATCCTCACCGCGCTCCAGCTCGTGTCGATCAGCCCCGTGCTGGCGTTCTTGAAGAGCAGGGCTCGGAAGCTGGGGATGGAAGGGTTCTTGGAGAGCGTCTGGGTGTAGTCCGAGATGGCCCTGGTGACAGGGTTCCTCACCACCACGATCAGCTTGGTGGCACGGGACATGTTGTAGATGCGCCGAGGCGCCTCCTTGGTGACGAAGTAGCTGGGGGTCTTCTCCATGGTGATCTGCCCCTCCAGGGTCCGTGGCATCAAGCTCCTGGGGAGAAAAAGGGGAACGTGGTCAGGGCTCGGGGCATGGCCGCTCCCACCCCGATGCTGTGTCAGGGATGAGTGGGAGCAAAGCCCAAAGCTTGGCCAAAAGTGCCCGGGAGCTCCCCAAACCTGCCTGCCTCCACCCTTCCCCTCCTGCCAGCCCTGTCACACCCCACTGGCCAGGTCTCCCTCCTAGGAGCCCCCCAGGTCTCTCCTCATCTCAGCCTCCCCTCCATCTCCCCCAGTGCCTCCCTGTCACTGCCCCACCAGCAGCACCATCCAGAGGGCACCTGCAGGTTGCTGGTCCCCCCTCGCCCCCTCCCCAGCCCTGCAAGTCCCTCCCGCCCACTCCTTCTCCATCCCAGGGAGTTTCAACGCTGGCACTTTGTGTGTGTGATTTTGTGGGCTGGTTTTCATACCCAGCTCTGAGCAACTACACATCCTGGAGATGCCAACTGGCCACGCAGGGCTGCAGAGAGGAAAAAACCTCATCTCAGGGGTGTGCACCCAACGGGGGCTCAGCCCAAGCAGGATGAGGCTCCCACCTCCTCTGCCTCCAGACAGCAAGCAGTTAAGACCAGTTAAAAAGACTGTTTCCTTCTTTTTTTTTGGTTAAAAAATAAGGCAGAAAACCTCTGAGGGCCCAACCATTGTGCTGTGTAAAATTCACTGCCCTGATTGTTCCCTCGTGCACTTTAATGAGGCATTAATTGCCGGAGAAATTACCCAGGCATGTCCCCCCCTCCCCATGAGGAGAGCCAAGGGCTGCAGGATGGGTCCCTGCTGCCACCAGCACAGGCACCTGCCCCAGAGCCCCTCCTGTCCCCCTTCTTCTTGGGGGGGGGGGACACACATCTCCTCTGGACACCCTGGAGGAGGGGAGTGGGTTTCCCCACTGGCAGAACCCCCGTGCCCAGGCTGTGGGTCCAGCTCAGGGGTGTCCAGGGGACATGGGGTTTGCTTAATTCTATGGGAAATGACCAAACCACTCCAGTTGTTCTTCTGAAATGAACCCTACACCTCTGGGTGTAGGCAGAAATACAGAAGAGGGTCCTTGGCTCCCACCTAGGACTTCCTCAGATGGCAGAGCCCTTAACCCAGCAGCTAAGTGCTGGTTTACAGCAGGAAACTGAGGCACCAAGGAATGGCCTGGCTTGTGGAGGAGCTGCTGTGGAGCTGCCTACGTTCACCCAGCCAACAACCACAGAATCACAGAGCCCTTTGGGTTGCCAGAGACCTTTCAGTTATTGAGCCCAACCCTTCCCCAGCACTGCCAGGTCCCCACTGCCCCGTGTCCCTCACACCACATCTCCACGGCTTGGAAACCCCTCCAGGGGTGGGGACTCCACCACTGCCCTGGGCAGCCTGGCACAGCCCTGGGCAACCCTCCAGGGGAAGAAATTGTTCCTCAGCTCCAACCTAAACCTTCCTTGAGGCAACTTGAGGCCTTTTCCTCTTGTCCTATCACTAATATCCACCCTCCTGACACAAAATCACTTGCATGGCTCAGCAAACACACAGGGATCCAAGCCGAGCTGCTCCACGCTTGGAGGCATCTCAGGATGAGCTCCAGGGATCAGAAGTCTCTTGGAAAATGCACCAATACCCAAATATCAACTGTGGCAAGGATAAAAATCAAGAAAAAAACATCAAGTCTAGCCAAGAGTTTTCACTTAACCCAAAGGAAAGACCTGGGACTGGGGGAGGAGGGGCTGCCCCTTGGCAGTGGCACTTTGGGGCTGTGCCTGGCAGGAGCAGGGTCCCCATGGCAGGAGGGGACAGACCCCACGGCAGCCAGGGCTCTGCCCAGCAGCATCTGTTCCTTATGCAATGGGAAAAGATTTGAGGTTTGGGGTTTTTTTTTCCCCTGGATGCAGGAAAGAACACTTTATTGAAAGCATTTGTGAGCGATGCTGCACAACTCCCTCCCCCAAACAGAGGAAGCAAAAGCCACTTGTGGCTTTCCCCCCACACTTATTTTTTTGGCCAGTGCATTTTCAGAGCCACTTCTTGTCCCCCATGTCCTCATCCCTGTCCCTCTGTTTGGCACCAGCCTTGCCAGGGCAGGTGGGATGCCCTCTGGGGGTCCATGCAGCCTGGGGCAGCGATGGGTTTCCCCCAACCTTTTGAGCACCTTCCTCCTCTGCTCCAAATCACTGTGCTCAGCACAGAATTCCTGCGGGGAAGTGCCTTCCCAAGCCAGGCTCAGCCCCTTGAACCCCACACCCTGTCGTGCTCACCCTGAGCCAAGCAAAAACCAACCACCCATCTGTGAATGCTGCTCTTAGCAACCTCCAACCTGCTGCTGGGGCTTCCCCTGCCAATCAGCCAAGCATTTTTAACACTAATTACCATCAGAAACCTGCCACAGGGTTTGCCAGGCTGCTGCAGGGTGACTCTGGGTGGCTCATCAAGGCTTTCCTGCAGCCCTTCCCCCAGATGCCACCAGGATTTCTGCCCAGGAAAACGGTTCCTTCCTCTGCTGAGTGAGGGTTTGGGGTGGGTGAGCAGCACAACATGGGCTGAGGAACTAAAATCAGTCCCTCTCCTCATGGGCAATAAAATGTTTATTCTCAAAAGTGAAGACCTGTGATGACGTGAGCCTTGGGGAGCCCATCTCAAACCAAAACTTTCCTGTTCTCAGCCTCTGCTCCCCACCCCAGCACTGATTTCACCCCAGCTCAGGAGCTCCTGGTTTTGCTCAGCTCTTGTAAAACACCATGGTTTGGGTTTGCTGCAGTTGCCATCACCATGTTCCTGAGAACATCAACCCAAGAGGAGACCTGGGAGCTACCCCGTGGCAGGGATGCTCTCTGAGAGCACTAACACAGCACCCACGAAGAGCAGGGTGAGTCTGAGTGCTCCAGCAAAGGTTTTGCTGAAATACTTTAATAAAAACCCATTTTATCACCCCCTCTTCCTTTTTGCAGAGGGCCAGGAAGGGTCAGGCTGAGCCCACAGTCCTCAGGCAAGGGCTCTGTGTGGCAGAGGGACCCCCAGACCCCTGCAGGCAGCCCAGGAGAGCCTCCCCCAGCAGTACCAGCACCTTCCCCACACTCATCCTGCTGCCCAAGGGCTTCTCAGCACACGAGGATGGCACCGACTTTAATTAAAGCCAACCACATCATACTACAGTTAATTAAAGTGTCATCAATAATAGCCCAGCCCCATATTTGGCCCCCACCAGGGAGAGCAACAAGGTCTCATGCAAAACTCCCTACCACTGGCCCATCAGAGCTGTAAGCTCAGCAAACCAGCACTTAGGTGGAACCTCAGGTGGACTCCAACACATCCCCAATGGAATGAAAGAGGCACAACCCCCTTGTGGGCTTGGATGCTGCTGACTTGGGTTTAAACCCTCAATCCCATGCCTGGTCAATATAAATTCACCAACCCCTGGGGTCAGGGTGGAGGAGCTGGGTCCCAGCATCATCCTGGGACCTCACTGAGAACTTCAGCAGCCTCCAAGCAGCAAATTGTGCAACATCTCATCTCCCTCTGCAGCCCAGTCTCTCCCAGCTACTGCCAAGATAATTATGCTATTTCACATTTTCATTAACTCCCTAATACTTCCCCCTAAATTGCACCAGTTAATTATTGTTAACCCCCAAATCTCCCTCCAGATCTGGCTTAAACTGGCCAGGAGCAGAGAGCAGAACTGTTACGCCCCACTTTAGTCCAAACATTGGGAACTTTAATTAAATTTACAGTTAATTCTTATTGACTTTAAGAAAACACCTCAGGAAGATGAAGCATTGCCTACAGGTAGGCAGCACTGCAAGCAGGGAGCCTTGGAGAGAATCTGTGTTTCCAGAGGTGCCAGGCAGAGAAATAAAACTCTATTAATCTGGAAAATTAGATAGTAAAACAACAGACATTTGAGAGCTATCAGAAATGGGGTTCCTACAGAGAAATATTCACCATGTGAAGCTGTTCATCCTTCAGGAACACTGCAAAATTGTGGAGAGGGATGGAAAACGCCACCACCACCTCCTCCAAAGCCTCCCAGGAGCTGTTTTATTCACTGTTTCAGCAAGTTTTCCTTTCCACCCACACCAGTGACCCTTCCTCATCCTCCTTTTCCCCTCCAGGCTGTGGTACCTGCTGGGTGATGGCTCCTGTACCACCCTGTCCCCTGCACTGGTGGCCAGTCTGACCTGGGGCTGTGGCTACCAGTCACCGAGGGCTGAGCAGAGGCTCTCACATCCCATAATTGCTCTCAGCCGAGGTATTTCTAAGGGCTGCTGGACCTCTCTGGGACATCCCCTCTATTCTAGTCCATGGGAAATTGCAGATTAGGGCTGTGCTCCTCAGGGGCCCCTCGTTTAGATTAATTACCTCCTCTGCTGAAGTAGCCAGACCCAAGAACTTCCAGCCCTGATAAAAATGCAGAAAGCTGCATTAGACCCAGACTAACAACCATGGCAGGCAGGTCAGCAAAGCAGACCCCCAAAAACTGGGCTGGCAGAACTTCCCAGGGGTAACTGGCTCATAATTCCTCCGCTCTGGGATGATTTTGTTGCAGCTGAAGAGCTCCTCCCAGTACCAAAGTCATGGATGCATCCCTCAGAGGACAACCCTGCTGAGCAATGTCTCCAGCCCAAGAGCATCCCTGCGTGTGCACCCAGGCTGGCTGCTCACACGTGTGGGACAATCTCTGCCCACCTTTCATCCCCCCCTGAAAATTCCAGGGGGACTTTTCACAGATGCAGATATCCAACCTGTGCTAGGAACATGAAGGGAGGCCCCCAAAACCCCCAGATAAACCACGGGCGTGGGTGATGGGCACCATCCAGATCAGTGAGGAAAAAAAAAACCCCAAACCTTCTCCATTATTATGAAAAATAAAACCAGCACTGACCAAAAAAGCCCCTGAAAAAACAGGACTGAAAGGCAAGACAGGAGGGGATCTGGTTGAGAGCTTTCTGCAGGGGCAAAGAAAGTGACTCTTTCAAGAGGAGAAGATGGGCGCTGGGATGATTTTGGGGGGGAACAAAACCAATG